TCGTTGCTTACAAAAAACTGATCCAAGTGATTTTTGACATTGTCATTTCAAGTAAATGTCTTACAGTTAAAAAAAATTTGTATAGACCAGAGCAAGTAATAATCCAAGTGTGCTTGATCTAGCAAATATGGTTGGTGTGATAGCACGTTCCTTCTAAGTTATAACAGTTTCTGACAAGTTACCAAACCTGTGTGAAATTTGACATTATCGTGGTAAAACACTACACCTGTTTTGTTGATCAATTCTGGCTGCCTTTTCTGTTTGATGATATTACTCAATTTGTTTACTCAATGGCAGTACACTTTCGAATAAATTGTTAAATTGTCTAGTAAAAGCCCCAAAAAAAAATTTTCTTAAAATCCCACCAAAGAGAGCATCTCTCTTTAAGAACATGTGGAACCCTATATCAAGCTTTGAAACGAAACCAATTTCTTTCAAGTAATCATAAACAGCTCAGTTTGACAAATTTAATCTCTTAGTGATTTCATGTGTTGTTATTTGGCAGTTTGCTTCAATCAGTACCTTTATTTTGTTTTCATTGGCTTCAACTGGCCATCCAGAACGTGGTGCATCTTCAATATTGAAATTGCCAGAACGAAATTTTGTAAACCAGTTTTGGCACTGTCGTTCTATCAGCACATCTCCACAATACATGTCACATGATTTTTTTCTTGCTTGAATGGCATTTTTATTTTTTTGGTAATAAAAAAGAAAAATATGTCAAAAATTCTGCTTTTGATCTTCCATATTTGATGAGACACAAAAAATAAACAATTGCACAAAATCAAACAAAATTTTTTACAAATAAGCCTTAAAATGCTAGCTGTCAAAATATATAATGATAATATGGTTTAGAATGAAAATGGCGGGAAAAATACGACTAATTCATCTAATGGTAAAAAAACGAAATTATTTTCCGAACAACCCAATATATGTTTATAATTGTGCCTGGAATTTTTAACAGTTTTACATATTGACACAGGTGAGTAGCCTCAAATAAAAAGTCACCTCTTCCATAAAGACTGTTGTGTTTCTGAGGTATTGAAAAGGACAAAATATGAAAAAATTTTCCTATTTTGTCCTATATTGTTTCTTCCAATTTTGTGAATATTTTTATGTACAGAGAAATAAGCAGTGCAATTATTCTCTTATTATTGTATTTCTAATTTAATTATTCTTTCTGTTAAAACTTTTGAAAAGAGTTTACTGTAAATTACAGACTATTTTAGTTTTATTTTTATCCATGTAAAATTTCTTTATAATTTAGGAAGGGATATATGTAACTGGTCTCTATATTGAAGGAGCTGCTTGGGATCGTCATAACCATTGTTTGATTGAAGCAAAACCTATGCAATTAATTTATCCATTTCCAGTTGTCAACTTTAAACCTACAGAAATTAAGAAGAAAAAAGATAAAGGTGAAATTTATGTATTTAAATTATGTATTTCGGCTGAATTTCAAAATACAGTAGAATCTCGATTATCCGGATTGTTCAAAATAAACAAAAATTTTACAAATTTGCTGATTTGCACTTGGCGAATTACAATACTGTTTATGTACATGATGGAATGCATAACTTTTTTTGTTTCAACAACGTCTCACCCAGCACAGTGGTCGTAAACTCTTAAATGTATTTTGCGTCATAATAAAAATATAATTTGACATACATATTTATAAATAATTTATATTCAAATTACATCATTTCTATGACCAAGGGCGGCATATGGGCAACGTGAGCCACCACCTATGCCTTGCGGTCTGGCAGGCCTTGTGCCTCGAAAGTTTATGCATTACTTAAAAGCCGCAAACGCAACGAAAAAGTTTTACTCGTCATAAAATGATAAATAGTTTGTCAAATTTTTATTCATAAAGATGCAGTTTCAACTGTTTTTCATTTTATAAAATCCATCTTCTTGTGCCACCAGAGGGCCTTTTAAACAATAGGTAGTCTGTTAGTGCTGGTCAGTAGTAGTCCAAATTCTATACGAACATTTGCTTCTTGAAAATTTGATCACAATTTAAATACAGTACTTATTTTTAATATTACCTGTATATCATCAAAAAGAAAATGTGTTGTATTATCATTAAAAGACAAATTAAAGTATTTGTTTCGATTATTCGAATTTTTCCTTATCCGGACTACTGTATGAATGCCGATTGGGGGGGAGATTTTTATTCCCTACTGTGGGGATGGTCTAAGGTCTACACGTATGTGGGTGGCAGTTTTATGAGGCAGTAAAAGACAAGTGTTTTACAGAGGCAAACTGTTTATTCCGGACGATAATGCTTACATAAATTCTCTTGTGGAAAATTTCGACGTCGATTCTGGTCTTGCGTCGTCGGGGTTTTGGCGGCGATCTGGTCCAGCATCGTAGGGGTTTCTGGACAGCGTTGAATGAAAAGTTCGAAGTCTCGAAAGTCGATGCACAAAAGATGAAAGGATGCACGAACACAAAAGAAGTCTAGTGGAAGTCTTAGTGGAAGCTTAGTGGAAGTCCCGTTGTCCTTGGAATTGGTGTTTTTATAGGTTTTTCGAGATCCGCTTCTTGCTAATTGGATAGACCTTACATCACTGTTTTCTGATTGGTCTTCCACCTGTCTCCAGGTGTAAATGGCGAGAAAGCTCATGAGAAAGGTTGGCTGGAGATGGTTTATCCGACACCATCTTTTCGACTCTGATTGCGTTTAATTGTTGACTATGACACCTACGCTCATTTTAATATTTTTTCTAGTTTCGTTTTACTTTCCAAACTGCATCTTAACACTAATATTTTAAATTTTCTTGTTTTATATCTAAAATTTTGTTTTTCCTGTTATTCTCTATGAGCATCGACATCAAAGTCCGGTGTCACCAATTCGGCACTTATATAATTTGCTTTGTTGATGATTGAACTTAACAAACTTTTTTTTTATATCTTTCCCTTTTGGGGGAGGGGCTATTTCCGGGGCCTCACACTACATTCATCCCCAATTAGTCCAGATAAGCAAGGTTCTACTGTATACTAAAAAAATGAAATTTTATTAATGATTGATTTAAAGGAATATTGTAAAAAAACTAGAAATTTTAAAATAAAGTGTTCTGTTTTCCTCTAGTGAACATTGATCATTGATGTGTAATTTTCAGAGTGCATTTTGCCTTTGCCTTGTAATCAGGAAGGCAGTTGTCCACAAACAAAAGTGGAAACAATGTGTACCGTATATTGCTATACATAGGGTTCGTCAGAATAAATAGTAATATAAATAATTATTATCACAAAATATACCCTCAATACAGCTGCCTGGTTTCACAAATTTTGCAGGAAAACAAATCATTGCTACAAAAGATATGTACATTCATCTGAAAAGTGTGCAGTCTAGACTATTGAGAATCCTATAGCATGTATATAAAGTAAATTCATAAAAATAACTTATATAGTTTTGGAATTTTCTGTACACTATAGTCATACTAGGTCAGCATCTTGGCATTTTTTAAGCAGGGCTTTGACCTGCTTAAAAAAGTGCTTTGTACTTTGTGAATATTTAAGTTGGACTTTACACTATGTACCTTAACCAAAACACAGAAAATTATTTCTTGCACAGTTTTTTGTGCTGATTACAAATATAGAAAAAAAAATTGAGGTACATTCACTCAGCAGTATGTAAATAAAAAAAAACACAACAATATGTGTTGTGTTTTTTTGATTTACAAATATATAGATTATTTTTGGTATTTTTAAGCTGTTTTTTGGATATTGTGCCACAAAGCTATGCTTTGCCAATACAAAACTCCATAGACAGTACTGATTGAAACTTTGGGCACCAGTTATCATCCTGACAGTTTTTAATTTACAACTGCATCCCTGGTTTATCATTAAATTACCATTGCAGCCTTTTAATTTTTAACTATGACCAGGGGTGGATATAAATGGGGGGCCAAGGGCTTAAGACCTTTTAGTCCCTAAGTGTCAAGGGACTAAAAGGTCCCCACAAAATTGAATTATTATAATAAATTTTAGTATTTTTTCATTAACAATAAACACTTATCATATAGTAAAAAATAGTTAATATTAATAATATAATAATTTATAGTATTATTTGTATTAATAAAAAATGGGACCCGATTGGATTTCAATAAGCCTTAGGTCCCAAAAAACTTAGCTCTGCCCCTGACTATGACATATGCACTCATTCTGGTAAGAAGGATGAGTGAGGATGCAGGAAAAGGTGACTGATGTCCTGTATCGGCTATAACAAATATTACATATTATAAATATATATTTATATAAATATATATTTAAATATTTATATATTTATAAATTTATATATTTATAATAAAAATAAAAACCATTCAACTATCCAGCAAAATTCTTTAATAACTTAAAAACGTTTTCAAATGCATTAAGCGTTCATCATCAGTTAATTCTATAATTCGAAATGTGAAATTCGAAAAATTATGCAACGGAAATTCCAAATAACGTTATGTGGTTATGTAAAAAATTAAAATGTAACGTGTTACAAACAAAAGTGCTATATACAAATTTTCGTGTGCTTAATAAACAATAATAATAATAATAATAACAAATAAATAAATAAATAAATAAAATATCTATCATCGATCATCATAAACCTGATTGAGCCTTTTATATAGATCTATGCCAATTCGTCGCAAAAAGATTTCCAAGCGGACGAAAGCCCGTCGGCATCCCTATAGTTGATACATTGCGCGCTCTTCTGTGCCCTGTGGATTTCCAGCTTTTCGAGATATTTTATCGCGTGTCTAGATGTAGTGGCTTTTATTATAGAGGCCTGGTCCCAGAAAACAGTAATGCCTTGTTGTTTAGCATAAGTGGCAAGGACCATGCTGTCAATTGTTTTGTTCACTGAAAGCTTATGCTCATTGATTCTTTTTTTCAAATTCCTCAAAGTTGTGCCTATATATACTAAGTTAGAGTTGAACCTGTGGTCTCTTAGCGGTATCGAGTATATTCCTGTTAAGGAGTTGCGTTCATAATCCCCCTTGTCATTCCTTAACATTCTGTATATAGTGGGATTACGTCGATAAACTATCTGCAAGTTCTTACTTTTGGAAACCCTCTTGATAATCGGTTTAAGGAAGGGCATATAATTGAGGACCATTTTTTCTTTTTGGTAGTTTTGCTTTTGCCTCCTTGTAAGATTATTATCTTTCTTAATGAGAGCCTCTATTCTTCTTCTCCCGTAGCCATGCTGCATGGCAGTTCTTCGTATATATTGTAACTCCTTAACAGTATCGCAAACATTTGTGCAATGCATGTGCGCTCTCCTTATCCAAGATTGAAATACCGCCATTTTAATATGCTCCGGATCCGCCAAATTCTTAGGGATAATGATGGGTATAGATGTCGGTTTACGATAAATATTGGTTCGAATTTCCCCTTTTATGCATGTTATAGTCAGATCCAAGAAATTAACGCTACTACTCCCTTGTTGCTCCAATTCCAAGGTTAAACCATACGGGTTACTGTTTATCCGATCTACAAAATGCTTGATGTTGCGATTATCCTTCCACAATATAAATACATCATCAACATATCTCGCATATATCAATATATCTTGTTGTAAGGAAGGGATGATACTGTTTTCTAGATTACGAAGCACTAATTCGCATAGGACCGACGACATGGGGCTACCCATCGGTACTCCCCGCCCTTGTAGATAAGTATTATTTTCGAATTCAAAAAAAGATGTGTGACAAATCAAGTCTGCCAATTCCAAAATCTGCTTGTGGTATTTGGTAGCGTTAATAACATTAGCGAATAGAAAATCCCTCAGAGCACAAAAGCATGGAGGCAGTTTGATTGATGGGTATAACGCCTTATAATCTAACACTGTCATCCATTCCTCATTCATGAGAGCAACATTTTCCAGTTTCCGGATCAAGTCCACCGAGTTTTTTATCGAAAAAGGCGAAACTTGCATTTTTCCTTGTATAAATTTAACAAGTTGTTTTTCTATTCTGAAAGTTGGAGCATTACATTTTTCTACCACAGGCCGTAACTGCGATCCAGGTTTGTGTGTTTTTCCGAAGGCAAAAATTCTTGGTGTCCTAGGCGCTTGTAAAGTAGCAGACCTCATACCCAGATAATTGGCCAAAGGAGTTAGGGTAAATTTTCTCACTCTTTGCTGTAAGGATTCCAGGTAATTACTCGGGGCAGGAAGACATTCGGTGCTGTCGATGTAGTCATGCAGTTTTTGTCTATACGAACTCCGTTTGATGAGTACAACACCTTTTGATTTATCCGCCTTTATGAGAACAATGTCGTTTTTTTGGAGCCATTCTTTCGTTTCTTTAATGTGCCTTTGGAAAAGTAAAGCAGTTTTATTAGAATATCTCTCCTTCTCGGCATATAATCTTGTTTTCCATCTGCAATAATCTTGCGCAGTTGAATTCATATCCTT